GATCGCATTAATTCCATGCATTGTGCACAGTGCACTTTGAGCAGATTCGCTCCCCCCACCCATTGTATTCCCACTGCCCCCATTCTGCCTCCCTTTTCAAACAGTGGTTGGTGCGTTTGTACATGTAGTATACGCCATCTCTCCATTCCTCTCCTTTTACCCCTCCCAAGAGGCCCCCGTCAAGCAATCCTCTTTATATTCATTGCATGTTAATTCTTAAGCAGTACAGAAACTAAAGGCTCATGAAAAGACACAGGAGCATAGAGACAGCTGTTTTCCCCAGTGTAGTGTTTGCTCATTAAAACTTTATACACTGAAGCTGTGTATAAAATCCCATATTAACAGACATGTATTTTTCTCTTTAATTATCTATCATATTAAAACAAATCATTTTTGTTTAGGTGGTTTTTTCTCTGTAGTTAGAATTCAAACCATGGGTAACTAGTAGACTATTTTTTTTTTTTTCCTTAAGGAACTTGGGAAAGTGCAGAAGTATAGCAAAGAAAAAGTCAACATGGCAATAGTCCATGGAGATGTTGAAACAGGATTTTGAGCTAACTTTCCAGGTCATTGGGTCCTTTGCTCCAAATCATTTAAACATTAAGATGTTGCTTCATTCATTTGATAAAGGCTGATAAATCAATCTTTTCTTTATCCTTTACAGCTTGCTGCTTTTGAGAGCCATCTTGCAGTTTCATTTATTAACCACTGCTACATATTTATGTCTCTCATTAGACATTTTTCTACCATGATTAGGTAACTGGGCTGTTTAAAAAAGAAACACCTCCAGAATAGCTAAAATTTTAACGTTAATACCTACATCTGCCAAAACAGATTAGTAGCAGATTTCTAGAATAGAACAAATTGTCTTGATCTCCTTACCTGGCACTTTGTTTTATGTCAAATCTTACTGCCTTGAGGGAACGAGACTTCTTGATGGAAGCTTATATTTTGACAGAAAAATTTTTGAGGCTGCAAGTGTAAGTCAGTTGTATCTTTATTTTTGCAGGTTGGCTATTTCTGGGTTATTATGTCTATGGCATTTATATCATATTAATACCATATATCTTTGATGAACTTGGTCCAGACTTAACTCATTACAACCGTATGGAATTTACTGACCAAATAAGTTGAGTATTTTATTTGAAAAATGTGAATCTCTTGGTTTTGTAAACAAGTACCAACATAAACTAATATTTATTTATTATTTGACCTTCTCCATTGTCATTGCCATTTTTTGTAGTTTGATACACTAGTATTAATTCATTATGGTAACAACAAAAGACATTGACTAAGCAGAATTAAAACTTTAATTAACCAGAATACTTCAGCATGGTTGTTCTTACAAAGAAAATTTCTTTTTCATTTAGAATATTCCTGAAAATTCTTTTTGACTCAGTCCTGATGAAAATAATTTTTAAAAGTATTATCTCTTTTAATGTAATAAATGTTACTTCTTTTTGTATTTTAATATTTTTTGTTCTTTCAGGATTATGTCTTACCTTTGTGTCAGCGTGAGGCAGAATGTGGGATAGAATGTATAGTGATTAGAGGACAAACACTAGAAGTGGTCTTGAGGCAGTAGACTATGGGGCCAAGGGTTTGCAATTTAGAGCCACACTTGAGGGATTCAAATTCTAGCTCCACCATTTCCTAGTTGTGTCATCTTGGGCAAGTTACTTCACTGCTTTGTGCCTCAATTTTCTTATCTATGAAATGGGTTATAGGGAGTATTTAATGAGTGAATGAATACATGTGTAGTTCTGTGTCTGCCATATAGAAAACACTCAATATCTCAGAAGAGTTGACCTGGCAAGTAATATATATAATTTATCAAGAACTCCAGATAGTTTTGCTTTTAATCTATCTTAATAAAATCAACCATAATGATGATATTGTTTTTAATATACAATGTATATTTGTATTTTTTACTATAAAGTTAAAATGCTAATCTAATCACTGGTTATTGTCTTTTCTCAGATATTAGTATGAGTTGAGTACTCCTTATACAAAATGCTAGGACCATGATTGTTTTGGATTTTGGAATATTTGCATGTACATAATGACATCTATTGGGGATGGGATCTAAGTAATCCCCATTTATGTTTCATATACACTTTTACACATAGCCTGAAGGTAATTTTATGCAATATTTTTAGTGTGTCTACATATTGACTGTGACCTGTCATATGAAGTAAGGAGTGGAATTTTCTACTTGTGGAATCATGTCAGCACTCAATAAGTTTTGGATCTTGGAGCATTTTGGACTTTTGGAGTAGAGATGCCCAACCTGTAGTTTTATGATACATGGCCCTCATATCCTAGCTATGACTGCACGAGAGGCAGGAAGTAGTGCTGTGGTGGGTACCAGGCCAAACCAGGAACTAAGAGTCTTGTCTGTCCACCTGTCTTCTATGCTGGTTTTCCTCAGTTGTGGCTGAGTGCACTGACCCTCAGTGCCTCCACACCAGCCCAGCGTGTAGGTGAATGGGTCTTGAAAGCCAAATGTTCCTGTCACCCTGCACTGCTGCCCGCTAGTGAAAAGGCCATGAAGTGTTAGTTCCAATTTCTTTAAGTGAATAGATCGACTCAACAGTTCTCTTCTTCCCTGAGGCCATTCTCATTAGGATTTTTCGGTTGAGAATAAAAGGAAGTTGCTGCACAATACAGAATGATTTGCTAAACCCTTTTCTTTTAACTTTCTTTACATCACAAAGAAATCATGGCACAAATTTTGCTTGAGAGATCTAGTATTGCATTTTATTCCTCCAACCCCGGTGCCTCATATGTATAATTCTTTGCTGAATGAATGAACCAGTATGACAGAAGATCCACACTTTGGTCAAACCATGTCTTCATTTGTCACAGTACCATTTCAGCAACAGAAGAGAGCAAACTGGATGTGTGAGAAGGAGGCAGCAGAGGGTGAACTATATTTGAGGTTGGATTAAAACCCAACAGGGTCTGTGAACTCTGCTATGTAAAATTAAAGGCTTTGACTTGGAGGCTTATGATATACTTCATATGCGTGCTAGAGACCTTAAGGCATTCTAGACTGCTTTTGTTTTCTAGATCATTGAGTACCCGTGATTCATTAAACAAATAAATATAAACACACATTTACCTCTATACAGATGTACATGTAAGTACCCTAGAAGAAAGTTTTAACAAAGGTCACCCATCTACTGCCCTTTTGCTCTACCCTCATTTACTGGGAATTGCTGGAGCCCTAGGGCTCTGAGTCACTTGCAAACACAACTTTGTTCTGCATTTATAAGCCATTTGAGGAGTTTTCTAACTTCTGTTAGTGATAATACAGACAACTTTCCTAATTGGGACAAAAGCAAAAGTTAAATATTCCCAAGAAAGCCCTGGCTAATCTGCAACTTGTCTGTGTGGCATCTTAGAGGGAGGGGACATACCCGGCTCTGCCTCTGACTGCTTGCTGGACTTCAGGAGAAACTGGAAAAGAGCAGCCAGGAAAGCGATAGGTCGATTTTAACTGTAATTTCTAGTATGGCATCCTGCAAGCTAAAAGAATATGAGTGTCAAGGTGCTTGACTGGTTTAACTGGACTCTCCCAGGATCCTGGCTTCTTTGTTCTCTCTGTGGGCTCAGGTGTATTTACGTCACAGTGCCTTAAGTTTTGGTTCTCTCTCTCTCTCTGTCTCTGAACTTTGCCAAACCCTTTCTTTTCCTTCCTCCTAACAGCTCTTGATATTTAATTTGAGACTTACAGCCTGCAGAACCGTCCCTTCTCCTATGCCCCTCTCCTAGTTCTGTGCTTGTGCACAATATTAATTTTACACTGTGTACATTATATTTCCTGCTGACACCTCTGTCTTTTCATTGTGTGGGGTTATGACGATTAGGTCTTTTGCCCTTTGAGGTTAGGGACCATGACTCGTTGGCTCACTGTGTTAACAGGTACTTAGGAAATTGCTGGTGATGGGGTGGAAAAAATTCACTGGAACGTTGAAGCTAAAGAAAAGTAGTTTGGGCCCTTTTATAAATTCTTTGGAAAATGGACACGTTTCTGTAATATCACCAAAATAGACAGGTCTCAGAATTGATAAGACTGTTAAGAAACGCTGCAGCTCAATTTGAAGAATAATTTTGGGTGAGAAGGCAATTATTAGAAAATCAAGCAATATTTGCTGTTCTAAAGCATTTGGTTAGAAGAACTGCGAAAACTTTTAGAGCTGATTTATATTCCTTCTTCCTAAGCACTATTTGCTGCTCAAAAGTAGCTGCTTGGCAAACGTTTTGTAGGTCTTTATTTTCGTGGTTTATGAGTCTGTGTGTTCTGATCACCCATCTTATTCATGTTCCTTTTATATGGTAGTAGCTAATGGGAACGCTGCCTGCTGTTCCTTATACCTGGGAGACTCGTCTGCCTGCCTCTAGGTGTCAAGATCAGACTTCAAAGCTTTTAGTATTTCTGCCCCCTTGATGGAAAGATTTCATTAAATTCAAGCATTCGTAAGGAACGTATCTAATTCTACTGCATTCAAGCAGCAACAAGCCATTGATACGTGTGAAACAAAAAGCTTATATCTTCTCAAAGTTTATTCTGCCAGTCTGCAGTTAGTTACATGTATTATTTAATATCGCTCAGTAAAGGTCTATATTATTACATAAAAGTTTAAGAATCAAGTTTAGACTACCTTCTCACTTCAATTAATACCTAATTTTAATCACTGTTAATTCAATTAACCTTCTCAAGAAAGTTTGTTTCTCATCCTTTTAAATGATACTATATTAAGTTAGTAAACCTTTTAAAATATAAACTTGTCTTGCACTCACTTTACATAACTGAATATCTCGGTTTTTCTGAGCAAACGCTTTGTTTCTCTTCCCTTTTGCTTTTTTCCTTAACTTCACACATCTTTTATATAATAGACCTTGGCTGCCTTGTGTTGAAGGAGGAAGCTGCATGATTTGCTGGCAGATTTACAAGCGATGGAATTTAACCTCAGCCTGTGTCTCTCCCCACACAGTCCCTCCAGTCTGAATATGTTCATTACTAATGCCTGGCCACTCTGGGGAAAGCGGTTCCATTCTTAGCCGTCTGGACGGGCCACGTGGACGAAAGGACCTGCTTGCCTGAAGGATACCCCTGTCTTCTTACCCTAAGCACTAAGATAACACTTCAGGAGACTTGAAGCCAGAAAACTGGTGAATGACTACTCTAAATGCACTGAAACTCTTTCTGGAGATTTCCACACTTTTATTTAAGACAGTTTTAATGTTGAACTTGGTATTTCGAAAGGTTATTTTTAATGTATTTCAGTAATACATTTGTTATTACATTTCTATGTACAGTATTACATTATGTATGTATTGTGAGCTTTAAAAGACTATTTTGATAAATTTATAAATATATAAAATTATGTAAAAACTAGGCTATATTTTGATTGAGATTTTCCTGCCGTTTGCTACCAAAAATTTGTATTTTAAACTTGTTTAGTATTAGTATGGTTTTGTCTACAATGAATAAATAATACCTCCTTATTAAGAAAAAGTAAGGGGGCTGGAGGAGTGGCTCAAGTGACAGAGCACCTGCCTAGCAAGTGCTGAGGCCCTGAGTTCAAACCTCAGTACCATCAAGAAAATAATAATAAGGGAGAAAGCTTTTAGAAAGTGAATTTTTTTGCAACCAGCATGAGTTCAGTATCAGGTCCAGACGTTCTTTGGAGAAGTAGGTGAAATTTAAAGAGCTCATTCAAGTTTATCTCTACCAAGAGTAGAATTGTTTGACAGGGCTTACCTAGGACAAAACCTTCCCTTTTGTTTTTGTTCCTGAGCCGTTTAAATTAGCTTTGCATCCTGAAAGGCTTAAGAAGAATAAAACGTAGCATCCACCTGTACTTCAGAATTCACTGGATATTTCTCCTGATTTTTCTCTAAGAAGTGAGTGACCATTCCAAACGCTTTTATCTCTTCCCACCTATCACAAGAGTGCTTTTTCCTTTCTTCTTCTTCTTTTTTTTTTAATGAATGCCTTAAACCATTTATTCTGCTTATATTTTTCTCTTGAACATTTGCAGAGGAGGGATACATATTTTAAAATCCATTTAGTGTCAGAGCTCTGTCACTAAATGTACAACAGTGAGTTTAATAACAAAAAACAGTTGTAAAGTTATGAAGTCAATTAGAATATTCTGCTTTGGGTACGAGGTGGAGGTTGCCTTGTAATCACAGGTGGTCAGACACCACTTTTAAATCAATGAAGGAAAAACTGGAAAAGATGCTGCTGACAGTTCTCTGTAGTAAAGGAGGCGTTTCTGAACAGAATTCAGCTCCCTGATGCACACGCTGGTAGATCTGGAACCTAGCGTGCAAATGAAAGGACCCTGCCATGGGTACTCAGCCTTTTCATGTATGTGTGATCTTATGTCCAGGGCTCCAGAAGCCTGTCAGCTTCATCTCCGTGAGGGATGGAGAGTCCATCCCCATTCTCTTCCAGGCAACTCGGACACTGCAAATGCTTGTTAAACAGAGCCTCATGAGGAGCTCTGTCCAACCATTCAGTTATTTGCAATGTATTTACTAAGAGGTGGTTCTCCGTGCTTGTTCCTGACTTACACTTTGCAAAAGGCATTTGGTGAATGTTTGACTCAGGTTTATTAACATCACTTTCAGTAACTGCAGTACAAATAATTGCACTTGACCAATGGAAAAATGAATGATATGGTTTAGAAATCTGAAGTTCAAGTAAGTGGGATGAAATTGCCTATCTTTTCTAACTCTGAAAGAAGTGAAATATTTTATTATGAATTACTGTACAAAACAAGTTTTGGTTAGTTTAGGAAGATGATAGTATTTTTTTCACATTGTCATTGGAAAAGCGATTCAGGTGACATTTGTGTCAAAATGTCAGGGGAAAGAGCACCGTGTTGACATTTTTAGTTCTGTGAACACTAATTTGTGTGCAGCTATTAAAATGATTGTAAAGTTGGCTACTGTAAATTTTCCATAATATGTGTGAATATAAGTCATATGTATCTACATGTGTATGTCTTAAAATTATTTATACACATGTGTGTACATAGACACACCAAGAAGGGGGAGTATATAATATAGGAAAGTAATTATATTCGATAATAAAAATTGTTTGACATGTATTTTGTTATGAATAGTTTATCTTCCAAGAGATTATTTTGTTCTATTTTAAAGTGTAAGAATACACTGCTAATAAATAAAAGTTTTATGCAATTTATTCCTGGACATGTGTAATTTGGAGTTTGAGTTTTTGGTGGACAGAATTTGCTTTATAATTTTGCCCGAATTGATGTACTTGGGTTCATTGTGACCATCATTCTGGATTCTTAGTTTTTCTTCTATTGATTCTTCAGGCTGAAACACGTGACTGTGAGCTCAAAGGAACCTGTATTTTGAGTTTCACAAAAATCAAATAATATTAGGCTCATCCTCCCTTTTTCTCTTTTTAATTTTCCTTTTGGTTAATAAAATACTGATCATGACCAGTGTGGTGGCTCTTGCTAGGTCATTTGTGACACACTGGTCATTTGTTCCTTTTGAGGAAGAATGGCCATTTTTCTTAAAGGAGAAATTATAGAAATAAGTCAGATGAAACAACTTCACATCTGTTGGATCTATGCCCTGAGTGTCAGCTCTGGAGAAACAAGCTTCATTATTTATCGGAGATATTTTATGTTAAGTTGGATCTCTCTGAGTTGGGATGTTTCTGACTTGTGGGTATTTGTTATTCCTTTTTCAGAATGCAAAGGAAAGGTTGTGGGTGGGGAGGTGTTTTTTTTTTTCCCCCTGGAGTTGGGAATCTGCACTTAGCTGTCTTCATAACACTGCACGACACCATTGGAGCCCTGAGGTTCTCCTGGGACCATGTATGAAGTAAGGAGACTTCTTATGAATCTATGAACCTGCTTAAAGGAGCAGAAAAAGCTTTTTTTTGAGAGATTGAATTATTGTGAAAAAGAAAGCTAAAAGAAACCAATTAGTTATTTTTGACAAATTTCTCACCTATTATTCATTGAGTTTGTATGGTTTTGTTGTCTTTAGATGCAAAATAATTTATAAATCTTAAAATGCATCTGGAATTGTATTAAGTTACTTATCTATACATGAACACATATATATGTATACATGCACATATTATATAAAATACCTATGATTCAAATGCAGCAGGAACATGAATTTTCCAACCATAAGCTACACAAATGGATTTCCAAATTGTTCTCATTTACAGACTTTCTTTGGTGACATGCTAAGGCATTAGTATATTACAAGTTTCTCGATAAGTCAATTGCTGGTGTGTAAGTAGAACACTGTGACAGAGGAACCCACTGTCACATTCAAGCCTGTGGTCTTAAAATCATGTCTAAAGCAGAATTAACGATGCTGTAAGAGGCTTGAGGTCCTCTGTGACACTCAGCAAAGCAAGCATTTGGTCACTGTGTGTGTTTTCAGAAGATTAATAAAGGGTCATTCTGATTACAATAGAATATAATTTAAAGCATAAAATCAAACTCCTTTATTTACACAAAGGTTGCACAGGGGTGGCAGCCATGACACATAAAGGAAAGTAGAAAATAATTGTATTAAGTTATTTTGAGCTGAATTGAAATGTTAATATATTCCCACCCAGTTCCTCCTCTATGGGTTGAATTATGATAATTATATCAAGGAGAAAAATAGCTTTTCTACAGAATTTTAAACTTTTTTGGTAAGTGCCAAGTAGAAACTTATATTTTAAATGACTTTTAATGCAAAATACATTTGGCAAGGGATCAGTTTTAAATAGACAAACAAATAAGCTGGCATTTTCACTCCTGTGCCTTGTTTTAACCTGCATTTCACCGTTTCCCACTGAAACTGAGGGAATCACATCACCACTTGCTAGCTCTCCTTGGGGTGGAATCAAGCATTGTTGACAAATTGGATTCTAAGTGAAAAAGAGAGCACATGGTAACTTCAGAAATTACTACAAAATCTTCACCAACCAAGGCATGACTGCAGGTGCAAATGTTTACATTAAAAGTTCAGATTGAAGGAAATGACCCAAAAATGTACTTTCTTTATTTGTATTATGATTCTCTTCCAAAAGGATCTGAGGTGGCTTCCAAAAACAGCAGGTGTACCACAGAGGAGCAAGTTGGGTTATGGACACCGAGTTTTGAGGCTACTGATGCCTTTCATGTCACATCTGTCCTTTCTTCTTAGGTTAGGCAAATTTACACCAAATACACACCTTTAGTCTCACCCAGGATGTCTCACTGGAATTTGTATTTGTCTATAATTTATTATTACTTACAATAAAAAATTTAAGGGATTGTCTCAAATTATTATGCCATGTACATGGAATACAAAGTTCAAAAGACAAATTGAAACCAGAGATCAGAATGGTATAAGGACAGTTGATCATAAGAATTTGGTTACTGTGTCTTTTTCACACAATGGCCAAATCTTTTCAAACAGATGGATCTCTTTCTCTACCATCTATCATCCATCCATCCATCCATCCATCCATCTATCCATCTTGTTCCATCTTATCTATCACCTCTCTCTCTCTCTCATCTCATACCTGGCCTGCCTTTACTGTAGTTAATGGAGATTTACTACAGCTAATGCAACTGTAACATTTCCCTTTGAGTATTGGGAAGTTAAATAAAACTTGGAAGAGACAGAGGACCCAAAGACTTGAAGTTAAAGGAGGCATTCATCCTTGTCTTTGTTAAAAAAAAAAAAAATGAATGAATGAAAGAATGAGTGTTGGGAACCGCATTCTAAAATCTAGCTTTCTTGAGGGCAAAGAGACTTTTAGTGCTATTCCACACATTTTAAGAGAGATACCACTCTGAAGAGGCACGTTCCAGTCAGTTTTCATTGATTGTGGAAATCAGTTACTTCTCAAGCAGCTTGGTGTCGTAACATGGCATCTGCTGTGTGTCCCAGCAGGGTTGATAGGCCTAGCTTTTCCTGATTTGAAGAAATGTATAATACTTCTTTGTCCCTTTACTGCTCTTCGCACCAGGCAGTTTCACAAGAATGGCAGCCAGTCTTAGACTTTTCCTGCTACTTCTGCTGTAGCTAGTAGCTTTCTGTACCATTTAGGCCACACACCTTCAGTGACCAAGGATACATGGCCAGGACAGACATCAAACAGCAATATTGAGGAAACAGCTGTGACCTGTTAGGAGAGACACTGGTGACAGAACGTGGGGGCTGAGACAGTCTTGTGCCACATTACCACAGAGCCCTAGCCTGGAAGTTCTCTTTCTTCGATACTGCACCAGACACCAGGTGCAGGACAGTACCTTATGACAAGAAGTAGGACTGCAGAGGGTAACCTTGAAAATTGACTAAGCTGACAAACAATTCAGAAGAGCTTGATCTATTTAAAAGTCAAGTCTGTTGGGAAAATTATCCTTAATTAAGGATTTCTGTTTAAGTGACAGGTCGTTAAGGATTGCTAATTCTTAGGTAAACCGAAAGAGGAAAAGTTCAACCATCTGGCCTGCAGGAAAGATAAAAGTCAATTACTAAGTCAGGGTCTTAGAGAAACAGGAAAGCCCTGGGTTGGGGTCCCTAAGACCCCTCCCAGTTTTTGTGACTCTGGGAATACAGGACTCAGCATAAAGCAATGCACACAGATAAGATTTAGTACATGAAAAAATACAAAGAAAAATCAGGGTAGGGAAGAGGCACCCAGGTGGAAGTCGGGAGGAAACCAGGTGCAATCTTCTACCTGTCCTGTACTGGCAGTCACACAGGACTTGCTGTCCTCCTGCAAAAATCTGTGACAACATGTGTGAAGCCTTGGTTGCCAGTCTTACAGACCCATCATCTAAGGTTTTTGTTGGGACTGGCTGTGAAGTCACCCCTGCCTCACATGAACCAACACTCTACACTCCCGGGAGGACAGCAGTTGGGTGGCCTCATTTCAGGTACAGTGATAATTATTTGGAGGTAGTTTTGTGTCAGTGGAAGAGCTGTACACTTGGTGTTGGGTTCTCAGACACCAGCCAACGACAAGTGGTAAGCAGACAAGCTAAGGACAGCTATTCTGACACCTCTATAATCCTGTATCAGGGTCAACCAATTCTGTATTTAAATTAGTGTGGAATTTTACACGATGTTGAGGAAGAGTTGTGGTCTAAGAGACAGGAACTTCATCCTTTTGGGACTCCAGTGTTCCAGGTGGGTCAGAGCTCTGGTTTTTAAGTAGATAAATTTGGAGTGGTACAACTTCCCCTTCTGTCATCATTATCGTCACTTTTGATGGGAGTGGGCCTTGAACTCGGCTTCAAGCTTGCTTGGCAGGCACTCTACCACTTGAGCCATGCCCCAGCCCTCAACTTCCCCTTCTGAACTACTCTACTGGCCATAATAAACTTGCTACAAGCCAATGTATCCATTGTTCCAATTGCTTTCAGGCCACACTAGTGTAGGGGAAACTCAGCAAATCTTGAAGGGATGAACCACAGCTGGGGATGTGTCTCAGTGGTACAGAACTTGCCCAGCTTGCACAAGGCCTTGGTCTCATCTCCAATGCTGCAAATTGAAAATAAAAAAGGGTAGACTAGTTCAGAAATTTTGCTCACAATATCTGTGCTACCTTCCTGTTATTTAATAAGTAAAAAATATATGTTAATACAATTTTAAATTTGTACGTTAAAAATATTAAAAAGAACAGTGGGAAATTTTAAGCCAAAGTAATGGTTGCAACAGAGGTGAAGCTGTGAGGATTTTTATTTTTCAATATTGGGGTTTTATGATTTTGAGAGAAACCCAACTTTAGGCAACAACAGTGCTGTGGAACCCAAGAAATGGTAAATGGTAACTGAAAAGCACAGAGATAGATGAGGAGATGGCTCAGTGTCAGCAGAGGTTTACTCAGGAGAAGAAACCTGTGGAGGGCATCTCCAGCAGATGCTCGGGCCCACTGCTGCTTACAGACTAGGGGATTTATA